TTCCTCAGTTGTTGGACATCTAGGTTGTTTCCAAGTTTTGGCTATTGTAAATAGTGCTGCGATGAACATCGGCGTGCATATATCTGTTCTTGTCATGGCTCTCACTTCTTTAGGGTATATACCTAGTAATGGGATGGCTGGGTCAAATTAATCACCACATCTTGATTGCATGTTTGGTCAATTTCAGACTGCAGAAGTTGGTAAAAATCTTCAATTTCTTCATCTTTGGCTTTGGTGGTTGTTTCGTAAATTTGAATAACAGTAGTATTAACTGGTCTTCCTTGAAGGCATATGGATATCATCCTATCACTGACAGCATCACACTTCAGGATAGATCTTGAAACGTTCTTTGTGACAATGAATGCCACATCATTCCTCTTCAATTCATTCCTACTGTAGTAGATCATATGGCTATCTGACTCAAAATGGCCAAAACCAGTCCATTTCAGCTCACTAATGCTTAGGATACACTATGCATCCCATTTCATTTTTGACAACCTCCAATATTCCTAGAGTCATACTTCGTACATTCCATGTTCCATTAATGGATGTTTACAGCTATTTCTTCCCATTTTGAGTCATGACACATTACCAAATGGAGGTCCTGAAAGCTTTACTCCATCTACTTCATTAAAGTCAACTCTACTTTGAGGAGGCAGCTCTTCCCCAGACATATTCTGAGTGCCTTCTGACCTGAGGGGCTCATATTCCAGCATTATATTGGACAATGTTTCAGGGCTATTCATAAAGTTTTCCAGTAATATATCATACAGTGTTCCACTGCTATTCATAAGGCTTTCACTGGCCAATTCTTTGAGAAGTAGATGGCTCCTTCCTTCTTCTGAGTCTTTCTTAGTCTGGAAGCTCTGCTGAAACCTGTCCACCATGGTGACCCTGCTGGTATTTGAAGTATCAGTGGCACAGCCTCTAGCCTCACAGCAACACACAAGCCACCACAGTATGACAAACTGACAGATGAGTGGTGGATTTCCCCAATAAAACATGAGAATTATCTGTGAATTCTGTGTCACCACTACAACAAATTATCAAACCCAAGAGAAACAGAGAGTGCCATCGGAGTGCCATGGTGTCAGAATTGGTAAAAACTTGGAGGGTGGAGGTAAGTCTGCCACCCACCTCATAGGACTCAGCCTTGGAATATTGATCTTGATCTTCTTCCTCCATGGTGAAGTTAGAGGAGGTCAGATATTATTAACAATATATTTTAAGTGAAAGCAATGTGAAGTGAATTTCTTTTTAAATCTTGGTTTATCACTTTGCTGGATACTAAGAAGAATGTATTATTCTCACTTTACTGGTGGGAAAATAGAAGTTTAAGAGACTTAAGAGACTATTATATAATCTGAGAAACGTCACAGATGTATAAAGTGGTCGACTTAGGATGTGGACTCCTATCAGAGTCATCGTAAAACCAGTAATCTTAATATATTATGAGAAAAGAAGCAACCAGAGAAAACAAATTCATATTAAGGTGTGAATCAGAGACAAGAGTAAGTCCTCTTGACCAATTTGAATGTTATTTGCTTATTTGACTCTTGTTAATATAATCTGTTATAAACTCTGTATGACTTTCGACAAACCACTTAACTTTTTTAAACCTTAGTTTCCCAATATGCAAAATGAGGGACCTGGACAAGATGAACCGTAAGGTGCTTTTCAGTGTTAAAATTCTAGGACTCAACATTGTTTAGGTAGAAAGCATTGAGTTTTTTGGTTACAGTGCTGGAAAATTTAGCAACCAATATTGGTAATGGTTGCACAGCATGATTAATGTAGCTAGTGTCAATAAATTATACACATAACATGTTAAATTTGAAAATGTTGCGTTGTATATATTTTTACAACAATTAAAAGAAAACTAGGACTCAAATATAAGAGCAAACAAGACAAACATCTTTCAAGCAGAATAACCAGACCTTTGGTGATCTCCACATTAGGCAGCCTGAAGATGTCAAGGTCCATTGTTCCTCCTTTAGTTCCTTCTGAGAGGTCTAAGAGGACCAGCCTGTCTGCAATGCCCTGTACATTCAATAAGAAAAAGAGCACATTACATTGACTGTGGCTAGTTATTCAATTTTAATTCACCAGGTAGGGGCTAAAGGAATATATAGGGGCCTCATGTGCTGTCTTAAGAAGGAAAAGTAACACCACAGCAATTAAAATGACATGTGAGCAAGAAGTTATTATGAACTTGAATGATGTGATCCTTTAGGCCTTAATACTGGGATCTTATGGGGCCATAACTTAGACAAGACAGACTGCAGGTTTCTTTTGTTGGGACTGTTGTTGTTGTTGTTAGGTGCTGTCAAGTCATCTCTGACTCATAGTGACCCTAAGTACAGCAGAATGAAACACTGCCCAGTCCTGTGCCAGCCTCACAATCCTTGCTATACCTGAGCCCATCATTGCAGGCACTGTGTTAATCCATCTTGTTGAGGGTCTTCCCCTTTTGCATTGACCCTCCACTTTACCAAGTATGATATCCTTCTCCAGGGAATGGTTCCTTCTGACAAAATGACCTAAGTAGGTGAGACAAAGTCTGGTCATTCTCACTTCCAAGGAGCATTTGGGCTGCACTTCGTCCAGGACCTATTTGTTAGTCCATTTAGCAGACTATGCATGGTACTCTTAGTATTCTTCCCCAACACCACAACTCAAAAGCATCAACTCTTCTTCAGTCTTCCTTATTCATTTGTCCAGCTCTCACATGCATAAGAGGTGAATGTAAATACCATGGATTGGGTTCGGTGCACCTTAGTCTTTAAGGAGACATCTTTGCTCTTTCATCACTTGGAAGAGATCTATTACTAGGGAGTAATAAAGATGACCTGGTACACTCAATGTATTTGTTATTGTTGTTGAGTTTATGCTTGATTTTGAAATCATAATTTTCATTTTGAAAGAACTCAGGATTGTTTTGGTCTATTTTTAGTAGCTCATTCCTAGCATGAAACTAATACCAGATTTTTCTCTTTAAAAAACAAAGACTATATCTACTGCATCTACTGTGAGAATGAAGACCATTATCAACAATCAGACTAAATATTCCAGAAAATGTCAACTTCACTCTGAATTGTTGTGAAGGGCCCCAGAGGAACCCTGCAGTGGGTCTTTAAGCACATCAGTGTTGAACTCATCCTTCTTGGAAAGAAAAAGAGAAGGTTTCAAGCTGACAAATGGTGGAGATACAAAAAGGAACTGGCTGTAATTCATACCACGTGCCACACTATATGATCGAGGGTGTTACACTGGGCTTCTATTACACAAGTAAATCTGTGTGAGCTCACTTCCCCATCAACATAGTTATTCAGGAGAATGGATCTCTTGTGGAAATCAAAAATTTATTGGTGAAAAACATATCTGTTGGGTTTGGATAAGGCCAGGTGTTGCCTGTTCAGTATCCCAAGCCCAGAAAGATGAGTTAATTCTTAAAGAAAACCAGATTGAACTTGTATCAAATTCAGCTGCTTTAATTCATCAAGCCATGACAGTTAAAATCAAGACTATCAGAAAATTTTTGGATGGTATCTGAATTTTTGGATGTCTCTGAAAAAGGAATCATTCAACAGGTTAATGAATAAGATCTAAGGGTTGTGCAGCTATGGAGACAAGAGGTAGATGATTCCTATGTCTTAGTGGTAATATTTTTAAGATGAAATAAAATTCATATATTGATTTTGGGAAAATAATAATAAATAAATAAAAATAATAGCCATAAATCTAAAATCAAATCTTATTATAATGATGTACTCTACCCAAAGATCTCACAGAAAATATTCCATATGCCTCTAGACGGTCCCTGGGTAGCATGGTGGGTAGACTGTAAATAATTACATGGAAAATCCTAAGTCAGTTTACCTTGTGGAAGGTCTGCACTCTCCAAAGTTATAGGGGACCTGAGATCTCTCGTATCTTAGACTGAGGGGCAAAAGTATCCAGGGATCCACCAGACTATCAGGCAGGAAGTACAGTGGTTAAAAAAACAACCCAGCTATACTACTTATTAACTATATAACCCTGGGCATGTCACTGAACTCAGTCTTACTTCATCTGGTCATAAGGACTATTATGTGACACAGGGCTAGCATAAGTTGCCTTCTCTAAATCTTAACTATCAGTTTTATAATTGTCAACAGGTCAGAAAATACCAGATTTTCCTAATACAGTTCTCTGCAAATAAAAATCAACTAGTAGTTAATATAATGAGACTCAGTATGAAGCAATTCTCTAATTCAAAAATTTCTAATTTTTTAAATAAGTAATATATTCATATAGGTCAAAATTCAAATATTCAAAAAGTATAGCCAAAAAAATAAGAGGATATAAAGTAAAAAATCTCTCTCTTTTACTACAGCCTAAAAACTCTGATTATATCTCTCATTTTAACTCTTCTGAGCTGGCTTATGGGAACAAGTGAAGTCACTTGGGATTCTTTCATCTAATACCTAAATACAAATCTTCAGTTCAAAAAGTGTTACTCTTTATTATCAGTAAGTACTACTCTGGAAATAAAGAATTCTATTTTTAAAAAAAATCTCTTTTAAAGCAATCAGTAATACAAATACTTCCGTACTTTAAAATATTCCATCCATTCACAAAGGGCAAAGTTCCTGAATATACAAAATATTCCTATAAACTATTCAGAATCTAATAGGAAAAAAGTTGGGCAAAGGTTGTGAAGAAACAACACAAATGGCTCATAAAGGAAATGCAAAGAAAACTATGAGATATCAGTTTCATCTATCAGACATTCAAGCATCTAAAAATTTAATATCAGTTAGGATGGGGAAAAAAAGTATTCTCTCTCATACACATTGTGTATGTAGGTAAACTGGTATAATTAATATGGAGGATAGTTTGACAATTTCTATCAAAATTTTAAAACTTAGCATTTCCTTTAATCCAACATTCTCATTTATAGGAATTAACCTACAAACTTACTAGTACATGTGTAAAGTGATATAATATGTGCAAGACACTCACTCATTTAGTTACATTATACCAAAAGAATGAAACAACCTAACCTAAATGTCCCTCAGTGATGATGATGATGATGATGACAGTAAGACAGTTTAACAGTAGTTTAGAGTTGAGTTTCTCAAGCATATATATCACATAGATCATCAGGGATCTTTTTAAAATTTGGACATTGCTTCAGTGAGTCTGTAATGGGGCCAAGGATTCTGGGTTTCTAATAAGATCTCAGCTGATGCCAATGCTGCTGGTCTGAAAAGCACACTCTGTGTATCAAGGGTCTAGAATACAGGCTCTGTGAACAGATTGCCTGGGTTCAAATCCTGATTCTGCCATTTATTCGCAGTGTGACTTTGGATAAATTGGGTAACCTCTCTTGGTTACCTTGGTTTGTTTATTTGTAAAATTTGATTGTTTATTTGTGAAATGGTGATAATGACAGTAACTAATCAATATGGTTGTTGTGAAAATTAAACGGGTCGGTGTTTAGACTAGTGCCTGGCATACAGTAAGCACTCCATAAAGGCTAGTTATTACTATCATGACTATTATTATTGTTGTACTATTTAAATTTTGTCAAGATGTTAGTGTTTAAAATTCCATCAAAATGTTAATGCTCAAAAAGCAGAAAATTTTCCACCCAGACAGTTCACACACAAAGAAATACTGATCATGACACCTTTCTAACAGTTAAAGAAACATGACTTTAAGATGCTTTCCTGTATTTATAAAAAATAAATAAAATTAATAAAACTCAGCATTGTTGGGAGTTCTGGTGGCATAGTGCCTAAGGCACCTGACTGCTAACCAAACTGCTGGCGGTTCAAACCCACCAGCCACTCCTCGGAAGGAAGATTGGGCAATCTACTTCCGTAGTAATACTGCCTCAGAAACCCAAAGAGGGGTCGCTATGAGTCGAATTCAACTCGACAGCAATGAGTCAGCATTGTTAGGGATGTCAAGAAGCAGGTCCACGAGCACATTACCAGCAGCATAAATTAGTTCTGCCTTTCTGAAGTGCAATCCAGCAATTAAAAAAAAAAAAAACCTCACTGCCATGGAGTCAATTCTGACTCATAGCAACCCACTTTGGGTTTCCAAGGAGGTAAATCTTTATGGAAATAGATTGCCCAGTCTTTCTTCCATGGAGTGGCTGATGAGTTTGAACCACCAACCTTCTGGTCAGCAGTCAAACGCCTTAGGCACTATGCCACCAAAGCTCCTTAATCTAGCAATAAGTACCATAAAAACCATTCATGCCCTCTGACTCACTGGTACTATTTTTGAGATTCCAAACCCCTTAAAAGAAAAAAATTCAGAGAAAATAAGCAACTTGTAAAGTGATGTTTACCAAAGCAGTTTATTTAGCAACAAAAGAACTGAAAACAACACAAATCTCAATTCAAAGAGAATAGTTTATTCAGATTGAGGGTTGAGGAAATGAAACTATAATACGCCAAAAGTTAGCATATACTGTCAGCTTTTTAAATTGTCTAGCTCCCTGAATATAATTTGTTTGCTGAAGTAGAACCTGCCCCCAAGATATATGCAAGCCTTAAATGAAAATGGAAGAATTTAGATGGCAAAACAATCAAAGTTTAACAGAAAAGGAAAACTAATGCCAGCTACCAAATAAATATAGAGAAATCACTATCCTATTCTGGGCTACATCCCTTAAATGACACAAGGCATGCTTTTGCCATGATCCTATGCCCCAGAAAAAGGCAGGCAGGTCTTTTAAACCTATCTGGAAGGGCATTTAACCCTTTCTATATATAATTTATATAGAAAAGACCTAAGGAAAAGGACTGCCCAAAAGAAAAAAAAAAAAATCTCAAACTAGTGCAAAATATCAACTTAGCAACTATGATCCTAAAGTCAGTCCTTTAAAAAAATGGAAATTTCAGAAAGCTAAAATTAAAGAAGCATCATATTAAACAAGAGTTTAATTAAAGCAGCATGACTCAGAAAACACAGAAGAGATTTTGTGACTGAGTCAAATAAATGTTAATTTGAGATTTTCTTTGGAATAGGGTGTTGAGTCTATTTAAATTACTTTTTCAAAGCCTATTCCATGACTACTAATTAAGAGGAAACATCAATGATGAGAGCTTCATGTCAACTTATCAAATATATTTTAAGCAAAATGAGGTTTTTCTATATGACAAAATGAAGCCATTATTTCTTGAATGTCACACACAAAAAGTTTAGCACTATGGCAGATGTACACCCACTCCTCACTTCTTGACAAGGTTAGGTTAAAAAACAAAAACAAAAAAAATGTCATTATATGAAAATGCAGGATGACCATATCAAATCACAAAATGGAAGATGACTACATCCTTACAAAACTGTCAAATTAAATCATTACATAACTGCCAAACCACTGAGAATCATGGTCCAGCCAAGTTAACACATAACTTTAACCATCACAGCCAGCATCACTCTCACCTTGGTATTCATTACTGCCAGATGCACATCGTTAATGCACAAAATAGTTAAACAGATTTTTTTTTTTTAAATATTGTCATAAATGAGCAATGTAAGAAAACGAGAGAGTCAATTAGTAAGGAGAAGGTGTATTTATAGCAATCATGCATACATACCTTTGCTAAAAGTGCTAATGTGCAGGCAATGCCTAACTCCCCACCTCCAACCACGGTAATTTTATTAACTGTTTTAGTCTCATGATTTTCCCAGCATCTTGAATTTATGTCTGAGACACCTAAAAAGAAAAGTGAATGATCATGAGAATTTTAAAGTAGTAGCAAAAGTCATTTTACTATCTCTTTAAAAATAAACCAGGCTTGGATAATTCAAACCAAAAACACAGTGCTAATTCACAATTAAACCAACCAGTTGCCATCAAGTCAACTCTGACTCATGGTGACTCCATGTGTGACAGACCAGAACTGTGCCCCATGGGGTTTTGATGGCTGGTATTTCAGAAGTAGATTGCCAGGCCTTTCTTCGGAGGTGTAATGGGTAGAATCAAACCTCCAAACTTTTGGTTAACCATTTGCACCGTGCAGGGACTTTAGTCCATAATAAAAATCCACTGCTAACAAGTCAATTCCAACTCATAATGACGCTATAGGACAGAGCTCAATTGCCCCATGGAATTTCCAAGGCTATAAATCTTTACAGAAACAGATCACCACATCTTTCTCCCTTGGAATGGCTGGTAGGCTTGAACTAACCTCTTAACCACTGTACCACCAGGGCTCCTTCCAGTCTATAATAGGCATTCAAAAAATATTTGTTGAAGAAATGAATGACTGTATGCAAGAAAAACAGAGACTCTAAGTTCTGAAGTCTGTAGTCTCATGTTTGTTTTGTTGTTGACAAAAATATTCCACTAAATAGAGGCTATCCTTTTAAAAAGAAAGGAACTTGACGAATGTTTTAAAAATAATAATAAAACCCTAAAAGATGTCAAGGTATGATACCTAAAAATAAAAAATAAAAAAATAACTTCTCAGAGATAACCAAACACCTTGAGAGAATCACCGGGTCTGCCGACCCGGAACCATAGTCTCAGGGAGCACCAAACTCAATTGGAAAAAAAAAACTTAAACAAATAATAGGATTTCCATAGTTCTAAAAAATATCATAATTTTTACTGCTCTGATCTACCACACAAAAAGGGAAAAAAAGTTTTGCATATTACTAAAATTTCCAAGTATGTGTATTTGGCTTTATCTTCAGTGAGAACCATGAAGAATCATAGACCTTCTGGTCCACAGGTTTGCTGGTCTGATAGAGCCTGGTGGAACCCGAGACTATGGCACCTAGCTGCCCTGAAACTGAACCCAGGTCTGGAACTGAACCCACTCCTGTGGCTGCCAGCCAAACAAAAGACAGGCATATGAGCTGAACACTTACGTTAGGGAGATACGCTCCTTGGAGAGATCGATCATGGGAGAATAAAAGGGCTGTGTATGCACAGGGAGATGGCTCAGGGGGCAGGTGTACACAGGAGGAAAGGACACAGGGAAGAGGTAACTATGGGGAGGAAGAGGGAGGGGAGCTGTTGCATTGTGGAGATTGCAGTCAGTGTCATGAGACAGAGTATATGTGAACTGCTGTATGGAAGATGAATTTGCTCTGTAAACTTTCATCCAAATCATAATAAAAATTAAAAAAGGATCTCTGGTCCAATATACTGAATGAGTCAACAGGGCCACATGAACATATGATGAAAAAGCCTTGTGATCAATATATGTCAAGTGACTTAAAACAGGAGTCCCTGCGTGCAAACAGTTAAGCACTTGACTAGTAAAACGTGGGCAGTTCAAACCTACCTAGACACGCCTCAGAAGAAAGGACTACCAATCTGTCCCTGAAAGGTCACAGCCATGAAAACCCTGTGAAGAGCACCTGTACTCTGAAACCCATGGCACTGCCATGAGTTCAACATGACAGCAACCTGAGTTTTTTTCTTAAGAATAAAACAAGATTTATTTTACCTATCCATTAAAGAGTAAATTTTTTTTACATTTTGAGAAACGATATCCATGGAAACTAATGGCAATGCTGGCCTATGATAGATACACAAGAATTTTTGATCTTACACACATCCACACGCACACACATTTATTTATGGAGATGAAGTGAAAATCAAGTAGCAGAATGTAAAAAGTAGTGAGAAATGTAAAATGATAACTCTCAAGGCAATCTATCTGACAAAAATACAAACCTTCAGTGATTTTTGCAATATAGGCTAGCAAGTCTACCTGCCGTGCCTCATCAGATGATGGCAGAGAATACAGGGGAAGTTCTTCTTGAAACTTGGCAATCATTTCTTTAATTAATCCAACAATGACAGATTTGGGCTGCAGAATACACACAAAGGAAAATGTCACACAACCATTTTGCCATAGCACTGTGTTAATCTATTCATTCTTACAGAATTAGCCAAAGAATTCCATCATACTCTTATTTTTTGAAAACTACCAAAAAAAATTATTTAATTTTTAACTGTTTCAATACTTTTAACTTGAAACTAAAGAGAAAAATTAATAATGAATCCCTATCTCCTAAATGAAAGAAAACATGGATGCTTAATAGCAGACTATCTAGGCCTGTGATCTCTTTCCCTCTTATTATTCTGAAATAATGCCAGACTTAGAGAAAAGTTGCAACAATAGTACTAATTACCATTTACTCTTCATCGAGATCACTCAAATGTTAACATTTTATCACATCTCTCTCCCTCTCTCTATATTCTAAACCAGTTGAGTGTAAATTATAGATATGATGCCCCTTTACTCCTAAATACTTTATGTGTATTTCTGGAAAGGAAAAAAAAAAAAAACTCCAATAAAACCATTATCAAACGAGAGCATTAATGCTGATAAAATATTATCCTAAGGCACTTGATTGCTGACCAGAAGGCTGGCGGTTCAAACCCACTAGCCACTCCTTGGAAGGAAGGTTGGGCAATCTACTTCCGCAGTGATACCGCCTTGGAAACCCAAGGAGGGGTCGCTGTGAGTTGGATCCGACTCAACAGCAGTGCGTTTTTTGGTTTTAATCTGATATTAGGAGTCCCTGGATGGTACAAATGGTTAATGAACTTGCTAACCAAAAGGTTTGTAGTTCAAGTCCACCCACACACACCTCAAAAGAAAGGCCTGGTGATACACTTCTTAAAGATCAGCCACTGAAAACCCTATGGAGCAAAGTCCTACTCTGAAAATATATGGGGTCGCCATGGAGGACAACTGGTTTTGTTTTGTATTGTTCAAGCTGACACTGTTCCTTTTAATTTAACTGGTTAAATACCTTAGTAAAGTCCACTTAACTTGTTCTTTCAGTGTCATAAGCAATATAACGTGAATAATAAACTCCAAACAGCTGTTATGAGAAGTAAATGAGTTAATGCAAGCTATAAAACGTGAGGATAAAAAGATGTTTATTATTAGTAGTATATTTATATATACTAATAATTAAATATATATTTATATTTATATATAATATACTAATATATTTATATTTATATGTAATATACTAATAATATTAGTATATTAGTATATTATTAGTATAATTAGGAATAATTAGTAGTATGCTCATTTTTAAAAGTGCTTAATTCCTCAGGAGGCGCTCTGATGGTGGTGTGGTTAAAGCATAGGTATGCTAACCACAGAGTTGGCATTTCAAACCCATCAGCTCTCTGTAAAAGAAAGATGTGGAAGTCTGCTTTTGTAAAATTTACAGCCTTGGAACCCTGGGGGCAGTACTACCCCGTCCTATAGGGTCACTATGAGTCAGAATCAACTCTACAACAATGGGTTTAGTTCTGGTTTAATTCCTCAGAGTCAGGTTTCACTATTTATAAACCAAGAGGATAAGACCATTAGGATCAAAAGACTCAAATACCTTCAGGGACTAGATAGATAACATAAATGCGTGAAGCTGCCAACTATAAGAAAACTATTTATTTTGTATACAACTTTGGAATGCATATTTTGCAATTTAAGAAAATGAGGAAAGACACAGTGTACTATAAACTAAGGATATAATTTGACTCACAACATGAGTCACTAAAAATTTTCTCTATAAAAACGCATGCACATCACCATAAGCGACAGATAAGGAAGAAGGGCTGCTGTACACAGTGCACATCAGCAAGCTGCTCTGAGGGCCAACGTGCGGAGGGAGCTGAAGATGCACCAGTCAATTACACACCAGCAACGAAACTTACACATCACAATTTAGGGTAATACTTACTCCTAAACCTGGTAAAAATGTTACTTGCAAACTATGAAAGTGTATTCCCCACCCCACCCCCCCAAAAAAAAAAAACCCAAGCAAATCAAGACACTTAAAGTAGCTGGGCAGAAAAACATTTCAAAAATCATGAAAGTACAAAAATAAGATTAAAATTATCTTAATATATTGTCTTAGAAATATTCTTCTTTTTTTATTTAAAAAAAAAGAACCTTTCTAAATGTCAGGTCTCTTTACCTATTAATAGTATGGAAATAAATCATAAGGTCAAAATCCCTTGATTCAGTCTTTATTGAAAAAATAGTAGGATCTGTAAGTTATAAATAAGTTATAAATGAGTCAGGGATTTTTAACTTCTTTGTTCACTGCTGCATCACAAAGCCTGCCACAAAAGGGACACCAAATATCTGTTGAATAAAATGCAAAAATGATACTTAAAAGAGAAATTCTGAATGAAGAAGTTGCTAACACAAGGTCTCTTGAGAATGCAGAGCATGGAGTTAGAATTTATCCTTTAACATAAACTTAAGGAGAAAAAAAATTTATAAATCTTATCATCATAAAAGTGAATAGCTTGTTGGCAAGAAGCCTCCCTATGAGATCTAAGATAGTTTCTTACTTTAATCTTAAGTCTGTGATGTCTGCTATACATGTCTGAAATGTTTACTGATAATAAGTAAATGAATTTAATCATCAGATTTATTAATAATTCATTGATCATACTTTCACTGCCCTTGTTATAAGTAATCCAGACACTATATAAACAATGTTCATTCTCTTTGGCATTTAGAAAAGCATGTTTTCCTCCTTGCACATGTTTATGCAAGTAGAAAACAAATGGCACATTAAACTCTCAATCAGTTTGATTTTAAAAAATGGTGATTATAGCAATCATTTAAAAATTCAAGCCAACATATTTTTTTCCCTGAAGTAGAATGTATTATTCCAGAGTCTGTGAGGAAGGTATGATGCATAAATGCTTTAAATGAAGATTTACCTTAACAAAAATATTCCATTATCATAGTAACCTCAACCTTAATAATAAACTTATACTATTAATTATTCTTTCCATGGGTATGATCCCCTACTTTCCTCTGAATTTCAAATTACTTTTGAAGATAATATCATCAATAACATTGAAATATATTATTTTACTTATTTCTATTGTCGGGATCTAAGATAAATATGAAGAAAAGTGAAAACTTGAAGAAAATCCAAATCGATCTTACATGGCTCCAGTTTTGGAGATAGGGCAAGTATATTCTGCCTTGAGCATCCACATGTTTTCCAACTGAGATTCCCATATTTGCAGTTGGCTTCAAGAAGCAAATGGGTGGAGCAAAAGGGTGAGAATCCAAAATCCACAAGTGAATTGGTATGTTGTATGTATTACCTATGTGAGATAAAATAAATACAGACTCAAATAACAATGAACCATTGCAAAAACGGCAAGGAGGCCACATCTTCCGACCTCCTCTAACCTTACAAGAAGAAGACCAGGATTACCAGCAGTAACCCAAGGCCTATTCCTACAAGGCCAGACATGCTGCCTCCCTCCAGCCCTTTCACCAATCATTCCTCCCAAAGCACCCACCACCTCTCTCCTGGGTTC